CTTCGAGGACTTTCGGCAAACTAGCGGCTTTGTAATAAATTTCATCTAAATTGATCGATTTTTTAGCTCGATTTACATTCCACAATTGTTTTCATGCTGCCATTTTCTTAGCTTAATATTTATACCGCAGTCTTCTAGGGTACAAAAAGTACTGATTACATATTATTCATGAATCAAACATTAATAGAGATTGTTTAAGCACAGTAAGAAAACAATGCCAAAAAGCAAGACAAATGTATTAAACGAGAAAAAACGTGTGTAACTAAACAAATCCTCTGATATAATGTCAATGTTTTATTTTTATATAGAACGCTTGAAACGTATCGATTCTAAAAAGGCGAAACGAATAAATTAAATAAGAGAGGGAAGATAAAGAAACGCGTGGATAATAAAGTTAAATATTTAAAAACGCCTAGATAATATGCACTAGATGCGAATAAATTTAGATTACGAGAATGAAAGTCTAAAATTTGCGCATTTTTTAAATATTTTAGCAATATCTATAATAAAAAATATGCTTCACATGTGTAATATCCCTATATATTATATTTGATGTATACATAGCGTGCGCGCGTAACACATACATATACGTCTAAAAATGCATAACGTATAACTTTTCTTACAATTCGTTACATATGTATGTATGTATATAAATTGTAAGGAAAGTATCATATATTTATTGCCATTATTCGAAAAAAATCGACTCTATCTATATTCTCCTTCTCTATCTATTCCTATTCCGCATTACTTTGTATTTTTTTTGTTCTCGCGAGAACGATGATAAAATTGTCAACCAATTTGAATATGTGTTTTCATATTTTCAACGACTGTATTATATAAATGAGGTAGATGTTTTCATATAATTATTTATGAATTTAATTATCATCTTTGCGTTAATAATAAGATGCTATTCCTTAATTTTTAAGATTTTAAATCCTGCTGATATTACGCACACATACACGCTCATATTACGCACGTGCGCGCATGATGTGTATGTGTATGTATGTGTAAATATACACGTGAACGTACAAGAGTGCAATTTAATGATATAAGAAAATGCCAATAAAATACTATGAATTTTCATATAAACGCAATGTATGTAGAGCCTGACTCACAATGGACGTATCATTATTAATGTTGAAAATGAAAGAATAGATTATTTTGTGACTTCTCAAAGTGGATATATTCAAATTTGGATATATTTGAATATATTCAAATATATTTTCGTCACGTTAATTACGATAGTGGAGCAGCGGGATTATCACATGTTTATGTACATAACGAAATCTTGTTTATGTACATAAACAAGATTTCGAAAATTATTTTTACGATACTATAAAAAAATCTGAAAAACAATTTTTCTCATCAAGTAACAATAAATTGTATACCATAGACATATAGATACCGATATATAGAAGATATTTTCATTTTACTTAGCCATTTTATATAGCCATTCTGCAAAAGTTAATAATTTTGCTATAGTTACGGAAATGCTATATCAATATTTCTTATTGATCATCGCGCTGTTCCGTGTAGATGATGAAAATGTTTTATGATTTACAAAAAAAATGTAAAAAATTGCAGATTTTTATTCATTTACGACATTAGCATATTAGAAAAACATAGATACTAATCTCTCGATTTTCTATTTGGAACACAAATGAAACAAGACAAGTAAAAATCGAAAACTCATATAATGTATATTGTTTATTGTGTTACGTCAACTTAATATTATCCATTGATCACTAGTATTATCTTCTTTTCTTCTCTTTCATTTCCCTTTCGATTTCTCTTATCATTAAGATTTCATATATTTCATTGTCTTCATTTCTATTGTCTTGTAATGTCTAGTTTGTGAATTTGCACATGTGTGTGTATGTGTGTGTGTGTGTGTGTGTTTGTGCGCGCGTGTACATATAAATCCTGAAGGAACAAAGAATATCGCTTTGCATTATAAACAGCAATAAAGGCCAAGTCGGAATAAAATTCCGATTCGATTTTGTTTAAACAATCTAGCATAATATTTAGCAATGATATAACGTAATTGTTTATATTGTACAAGTGAAATTCATGAGATATTTCTATTTTTGAATATCAAGATTATTTCTAAAAGTTAAAGAATTACATATAATGCAATAACATGAATCTCAAAAAATCCCAACAGGTACATTCTCAATATACAATTTTCTACACAATGTATTATAAAAAGAACATTACAAAATCGATAATATTATCGCGTAGCCTTACCCTCTTATTAACAAAATATATAGCAATAAAATATACTCCTTTAGAAACATGGATTCTTATATTAATAACAAATTATTTTGAATCATTTCACAAAGTATATCGGATAAAACTCATTCTTATTACAGTTTATACAATTAAACGATCTATATATGAAACAAATAGCGAAGATATCCTCCAGCTTCGCAGACGGAAATAAAAATATGTTATATAATTACAAGATTTTGTTTGTAAAATTATGTTCGTAAAATTGAAAATGGCGGAGGTCCAGACTGCCTCATCATCATTGCGAAACTACTCAGCCCTTGATCACTCGGCTGCTGATCGTTGGGGTTGTTTTGCGAAATATTTAAATGTTTACCTCGACCACTGTTGTGACTTTGCAAATGTTTCTTCAGGTGATCTTTTCTATAGAAAGCTTTGCCACATTCCGTACAAATTTGATTTTTGCTACCTGAGTGAGTTATCATATGACGTGCCAAGTGTTCGTTACGTTTAAATGCTTTACAACACATATTGCATTGATAAGGTCTGTCTTTATTATGACCTTGCTTGTGACGATCCAAGTGTTCCTTACGTTTCAAGCTTGCCCCACAAATATCACAGATATGCGGTCTCTGTTTATGATCTTCTAGATGTTCATGAAGTGCTTCTCGATCGTCAAATCTATATGCACACTCAGGGCAATGGTAAACCAATATACCTTACACAAGTAAAGAATTGAACACGTTACATAGAATTATTAATAATGAGATATCAGATTTTTATCAGCAAATATTTTTCAGTATTTTCATAAATATTTTACATGCAACAAATTGATGAAACAGTGAAAACTTGTTTCAATATCAACATCTAAAATAAAATAAGCAAGTAACTCACCATTGATATGCTGCGGTTCAATTTCAAATTCAATTTTTGGTCTTACTTCTTGACAATTGGTGGTAGGATTACGATCCTCATATTTGGTTACATATGGTAATCCTAATGTACTGGAACAACGCGCCAAGTATTCAGAAGTAAGTCTAAAATCAATTTGCAGAGGATCCGTCATAGTCGCTGCATCTACTTTTTGTACAGTCTGAGTACCAGATGACTGTTGCGAGATTTGTGGGCAGAGTTCCTTGCTACGCAAATTATTTTCATTCCGGTTTTCATCCGTTTGTTGAAAATGTTGTGATGGATGGCCAGAATAAGTATATCCAGTCATGCCAGGTCGCGTATGCTGATGAGTATTTGGCGAATATTTCACGTTACGTGGATCGTAAGCCATTGTATCGACAAGAGCGTTGAAGAGCGTCAAAGCCTTGGAAAGGTAACCGCCCAGGTAACCGACTTCTTTAAACTCTCGACTTTAGACTCTAATTGCAACACCCGTAACGTCTACAATATCGGCAATGTGGAACATCTGGAACATCTATAATATCTGCGGTGTTGTCTTGAAAAGATGGGAGAAATTAAAAATGCTCGCGTGCGCACAGCTATCACGATCGTGTATCGAATCGTGATTATGTATGTGATATTGAGATATATACTGAAAGAAAGAGAGAGAGAAGGAGAAAATCTTACGGCGAAGCCGTAGTATCGTCGTAGAAAAAGCAATTGTCGCGTCTTGCCGTCTTGTTTTTATCATGTTCATCTCGTCGCTTTTTCAACGCTCCTCCGGCTTCTTCTTTTCAGACGAAACAACCGTCTCGGCATCGCCGAATCGATGATGGTGACAAATTTGCCTGTATTCATCGAAAACTCGATCGAAACTCGAATCACGATTTTAACGTATAAAACTCACTTCTTCATTATGTACTACGTGTTAAATGATCGGCGTTATTCGCCAAATTCGCCTATCCGTTTGTATCATTTATATCGGTATCGGCCATCTTTACACATCAGCTGCTATAGGCTACAGATTACAGCTGCTTCCGCGATTCGCTATTACGACTCGCATCGCACGGTTTGAGCTTGAGTCGCGCTCTAAAGGCTGATATTCATACATTATGCCTGGATTAGATTAAAGACTGACATTAGATTGGAATTTGACCAATCCGAACAAAGTTCATTAAACTTGATATTGATTTCTTTTTTATGAATACTATTTGGTAACATTCATATTCATAGATGCTTTTTGAAAAATAAGGACTTCTTGAGTGCTTTCTATTTAGTGACACAAGTCGACACAAACGTCACTCTATCTTTCTTGGCATTCAGTGAGGAACAAAGACAAAATGATACTTGCATCAACTTATGTCACTTAAATGGAAAACATTTCTTATGTTCATGATATTAGAAATCAATCACATCGATTTTTTTAAATGGCACATCCTACCTTGAAACACTACAATAAAGTTATCATGAAATACTTTTTGAGTTACGAGACTTGAAAATTACAGCATTATTGGCATTAGCATTATTATTATTAGTAAAAAAATTAAACCATTATAGACATTTCCCATATTTATTTTTTTTATTAATTATCGCTTACTTAGTTCTTAAAAAAAAAAAAATCTGTTTATTTTGTCATCACGCTTACGCAGTAACGATTATTGAACACTGCTCCCACTCTTTTCTATAGAACCAATAACCGTCCATCTTCTATTCTTCAGTTGGGTTCACTCCCGCTTATAGGAAAATTGCTCATTAGCCATATAGTAATATTATGAGATGCATCTGTGGTTCCGTTTAGCAGCTTTGCAATTATGAAATATCTCTGATATGATTGGTTCTTGCGCTTCATTTTTCACAAATTTAAGTATATAAACCAATCATATTAAAGAATCTTACAATTGCTATTTTTTCTGCCGAACACAGCCAATCTTTATTTATACTTCTTTTCCATTAGTGTCATTTTTAAAATTGATTTTATTCGATAGCACATACGATATAAATACTTTTACTTGTACAATATATTTTAACATATTTTACTTATAGAAAAAAATTAATAATAGCTATATACAACTCGTAAGTAAAACTATTTAAATTAAGATCAATGAAAGATGAAAGTTTTATTAATTTCTAAAATGACAAAATGATACGGCAGACTTACGATTACAATTATGTAAGATGCTAAAATCACACTAACAGACAATATTAAATATTTAGTAAAATGTATCTCTCCTTTTTTTCTTAGTGAACTACGGATCGTATTGATGAGACTTATATCATTAGAAATGGAGAACTTTGACTACATTCTTAGAACGGAATCGATACATATACATACACGCGTATTATGTAAATATACATGTAAAATTGTACAATATATAATATCATGCGGAGATTTATATTAAGAGAGCATGGATTATAGGCGAGTGTAGAGAATGAAGTTTCGGTGGGCTATATAAGACATGCAGAACAAATTATGATAAATGGCGACGAATCAGATGATCATACGCATATTTCATAGCCCAACGCGCTCGTCCTTTGTGTTTGAACCCTGGGGTGAGGAGGACCACATTCACTAAAAAATAAACAATAGCATCAGATACAATATGAAAGATAACTCAATATAAATTAATTACCTATGATGTAAAGCAGAAGCAAATTGTTGATCGTATTCCCGATCCATGCAAAGAGAATGAGAAAGAGGATCGTTGCGCTGTAATACTACGAATAAGAAATAAGATAAATTACAATTTTATTTAGTTTATTGGATATTTTATATAGATTTTATTTTCATATTTTACAAATAACAAATTTTTTATTAAAAATGCACTTACAATATTAGGGCGATCATGCCGAATTTTTGAAATGGACATCCATGTAGCTTGTAATTGCAATATAGTGGCAGAGAGATTTTGGCAAACCTCGATCAACTTTTTCTCCTTTTGTCCTGTCCAACTTTGCGCGTTGCATAAGACCGAAGTCAAAATCGGTACAAGATAATCAACAAGAGCGAATATCAATAAACATATAGATATCATTGTCAATAGGGCTGGTTCTAGAATCCATATAGTACTGCGACAGAAAAAAGTCATTATTTTACGTATATTTGTTTCCCAGCAAGTATCCTGCAAGGTATACTTCAAAATCATCAAAATATCTTTATAGCCCTTTTTGCAC